GGTCCCGCCTCCTCGGCCGGCTCCTCCCCTGGCGCTTCCGGTCCTGCGCCTTCTCTGCCCAGGCTTCCGCGCGCGGGCTGAGCGCTGCGCGTGCTAACCCCCAACCCCGCGCCACCCAGTGCGTGGCACACACCAGGCACCCAACATGTAGGCGCTTCCTAAACCCTCATTCAACTTTTAAAGTGATTACAGTTGGTGCGAATCGGAGCATCTGGGGAATGCAATACTGTGCAGAAAATATCCCCTTTCTTACGTTCACTCACGGTCATCCCTGGTCCATTCCGATCCGCAGCAACCCGGTCGGACAGAGTCGAACGGCCCCCGGGGGTTTCTGAGGCTGTAACTCTTCATGGAAAAGAAAGTCGTTTCCAAATGACTGCTGACTTGTGGCTAGCGCATCCTAAGGGTAACCCATAACTAATGCAAAGCGTTTTAACAAAGGCACAAAGAACGTAGTTTGGAAGGGTAAAATTATTTACAGTGCTAGAAGTGCCGAGAGACTTTGAAGATAGTAGTGTTTCAGGTATAAAAGAGACTCCAAATCTCAAATATAAGAAGGACGTTTATTAAGTCGTAGCGAGGACAAAGTAAAGACAAAACAGGGACACATCATCTGGATGAGGGAGACCAAAAACATGAGGTCATCATGGCATCCATGGATTTTACTGAGATACAGAGCATTTAAAAGGATATGGGAGAGCAGAGGGAACTGTCACAAAAGCATGATCAGTGGCAGATTAATATATCAGAGTTATAGGTGTGATTGTATGCTGAGCAAATCACCCGAGAAACTAGATCGCATGAAGAAGGCATCCGGAGTGGGAAAAGGCTCATGGACACTGCAACATGCAGAAGACACAACCTGGCTTTACTCAAAGGGAGAAGGACTTGAAGTACTTGCTGATGAAGATCAAGATTCCAGCTTTCAATCTGGATTTCAACTCAACGTGAAGAAAACCCCAAATCCTCCTAACTTCACCACTAGACCAGTAGATGACAACAAGATAAACATGACAAATGACTGAAGCTGCCAAGGATTCTGTCTTGCCTGGATGCACAATCAGTGCTCCAGGAAGCAGCAGTCAAGAGATCAGAGGACTCATTGCATTGAGTACTTCTACTGCACGACATCTTTTAACAGGGTTGGAATGCAAGGATGTTACTTTGAAGACTAAGGTGTGCCTGCCCCAAGCCATGCTACTTTCGATAACCTTATATGTAGCTCTCATCTCTGACTACCATCAAGTCAATTCCAATTCATAGCAAGGCGACAGACAGGAAGGACTGGCCTTTGTGGGTTTCCCACAGCAACAAGTGAAACACAGAAGCAGGCACAGGACCATGATTGGGACACAAACATTACATTAAGGCAGAGGAGCTTACAAGATTGGTCCAAGGCCTTCTGTCCAAGGTAGGCTAAGAGTTTGGAGTGCTGCCATACCAGAAATACCACAGACAAATCAGACTATAAGACAAAACTTTAGCTACAGTGTAAGACACTAGAAGCCTTAATTCGGGTGTGGTTCTGCAGAGAGGGCCTCCCTCGTCTCTGTCAGTTTCTAGGAGCTACTAGCAGTCCTGGCTATCCTGGGCTTGTGGTCCCCTACTTCTCCACCATGTCTTCCTCTGCCCCCCAGTTGTATCTCTGTGTCTATTCTGTTCTTTGAGTATCTCAGAGTTTTAGGATCTACTTGAGGAGGCCTCATTAACATATTATCACATATCCCTTCTCATTTATATCTTCTTTAAAAATTAGTTGTGTTGGCATATACATCACATATCATACAAGTCCAACCATAGGAAGATTTGTACAATCATCACCACAATCAATTTCAGAACATTTCCTTCTCATACTTCTGGTTAGCAGCTCCCCATCTCCTCCCATTCTCCCCTCATTTTAATCCTCTTAACCTTCCCCAAGTCATTAATACTGTACATTTCTAAGATGGAAACTATGAGGGGGTACCTCCCCCAAACAGAAAAAAAGCTCTGGTAGGTGGAGCTTTCATTGTATGCATGTTTCCTGCTAGGTGAATATCCATCAAGCAACTCACTCTGAGTTAGTGCACCCAGTGGTGTCTCCTGGAAAGGTTCTCTCTGGTCACAGTGAATTTTTTCGTAAAAACAGTTTTGCTTGAACCACTTTTTTGTGACGGTCAATTTAAGAACACAGTGCGTAGCTGTGAAATTGTGTTTTCTGTCATAGAAACTATTGTGATGTTGAACACAGCTTACAAGGACAGTGCTATGGGAAAAACCTCAAGTGTATGAGTGGTTTTCTCATTTCAAAAAGGGTGAAGTGTTGATTGGGTGAGGTGACGATGGCGGCTTCCACTGGCTGGGATCAGGAGAACTAGATGGTGCTTGGCCACCACTACCAACAACTTTAAAAGGTATCACATCAGAAGGTCCTGGGTAGAGTAGGAGGAAAATGTCCAGCAAAATTAAAAGCAAAACTGTCCAGCAAAACTGACTGGTCAGCTAGAGATAGATGGATGGAACCCCTGAGACTATGGTTTTATCGTCCCCCATCCGGTCTGAAGATGAACTCACCCCTATGGCTCAATGTTCAGCCAAACTGTAGACAGGTTTGTAAAGAGAACAATGAACAGTAACTGTAGTGAGACATGCACACCTTAGAATAATCACCTAATTGAAATCAAAAGGTAGCATTTACCCAAGCACAACCTTCAGAAAGGCCGGGACAAAAAGGAGGAATGGAAAGAAGAATTACTGGGAGGCAGTGGGATAACTGATGGTACATTGAGGGGCCTGCAGGGCGTGAGATGAAACAAAGTGTATGAACAGCTGAATGTAGAGCTGACGATCTGCTCTGTACACCGTCACCATTCACAATCGCAAGCTTAAAAACATCTATGTACTCCTGATGCATTACAGGCAGCAGAAGGCTGATTCTGCCCAACAGTAAAACAAGTGAAGAAGAGAGTCCACCCACAAGTCTCCTATGGGAACCTGTCTTTTTGATGTGGTTCCTGGGCCTGCCTCTGACAAAGACATTGGTAAGATTAGAGAAACACTTTGATAATTTATGTCACCAGGTGAAGGTGAAAGCAGAACAATTCAGCCTGAAGAAGATAAATGTAGAATGTTGAGTCTGAGAGAACATGAAAAAAACAAGTTTGTTCAAGGGACTGAGAGGGGGCTTTGTTCTATCTTGCCCCAGGCATGCCTGTGGTGCAGAGTTGCAGGACAAGGAAGACATCAAAGGGTGCGCACCTTTTCCCTCAGAAGACTGGCGAAGAAAGGGCTTTCTGCTCGGCTGAGCAGCAGCCGAGCGAAGCAAAGCCATGGGTGCCGATGGCTGTGGTGACGGAGTTCCAGAAAGAGACGCGCTCTTGACAGCTAACTGAGCTGCACAAAGACACGTTGGCCTCCAGACAAGCTACTGTCATTAATAAGGGTTTAGAAGTTGCCTCTGGATATGTTTGGGTTATCAATTGGAAGGATTCTCCAGAAACACTATTACAGTTTTAAAAGGTGTCTTTATCTGAGTTAATAATGTCATATTCCAATTGTCTGATAACCTCAAGACCAAGCGACAGCAGGCTGTTTTCAGTAAACATTTTCATAATGGTAGCTTTCTCTCTCCGATAGCAGCCACCCTTAGCCCATGGGTCAAACGCTCCCTTTCCAGCAGTGGTTCTCAACCTGGGGGTCGCGACCACTTTGGGGTTTGAATGACCCTTTCACAGGGGTCGCCCGATTCATAACGGTAGTAATGACAATTATGAAGTAGCAACAAAAGTAGTTTTATGGTTGGTGGGTCACGACAACATGAACTGTATGAAAGGGTCGCGGCATTAAGGAGGTTGAGAAGCACTGCTTTATTGAGACCAGAGCCCTGGTTTCACCCTCTTTCTCTGCAGTCATCGGAAGGAAGGGCAGAGTCCCCAGGGGAGTTTCACAGAAGGCCTGCTTTGGGGCGCTGCTCCAGGTGACTCATTAGATGTCTTAGCCCCAAACACAGAGCAAAGAGACGCCATTATGGCCCAGCGGTCTTTGCTTTGGGGAATAAACAAAACATTTACTCCTAAAACAGCGACGAGGAGTCTAGAACTTTTAAAAGAAAATTGGGGGGCAGGGAGGGGAGGCAGAAGTCTCTCATTGT